CTTGCGGAGAGGAGTCCGCGAATCGTTCCCTCTTGCCACCCACCTCCCCGCCTTCACCTCTCTGCCTAGAGGACGCGCACACCTGAGCCGGGTGCGTAGACGCAAGTACGGGGTTGCAGGAGCGCAGGCGGCCGCCGCAGGGGCCAGCTGGAGGGCGCGGGCGCGGCACGGAGCACAGCGTGGGAAGGATCGAGAGAGCGAGCTTTGCCACGGTGTACTTTCTGGTCTCCGAGCCCGGGAGGAGGAGGTTGGAATGGTTATTAAATCACGTCGGAGCGTGGCGCTACTCTTGGAAAGGTGAACCACTTCGGAGGGTACTGCTGGGCCCCTAGCGATCTTCAAATTGAGCCTCACTCCCCTACTTAACAGTGCCATGTGGACTATAGACGGATTTACTTGTGTGCACTCAGAGGGAAACTGGCTCTGAGGCCAGGTGGAATTGATTTCGTAATCTTTGGACTTTGTGTGTTTGAAAGTTACACAGTAAAAGTAAACAAAATACAAAATATGTGAATGTGCAATTGCGTGTACTATAAACAGAAAATGAATGTGTAGAATAAAATAGAGTACAAGGAGTGAGTTCCAAATCCTTATCAGAGATTAAAAGTCAGACTAAAGGTGGGCCTACCTCTACAGCCCCATCTCCTCTCTAGCTATACTTAGCCAACCCAAGTCTACAGCCTTAGAGCCTTCACTTTCTTGGCTTCTGGTTGTCACTCGATCACAAAGGCCCCCTGAATAGGAACACACACTACTCTTTATTTCCCCAAACTACCTGGTCTCTTAAATTTGTAACTCTTCATGCTTATATGTTTGCATATTAATGCTTAATCTATTCTGCCTTTGCAATGTAATCTTAAAGAAGGCAGGAGCAATGTCTGTGGTCCATGCACACAGTAGATGAAAATATCTGTCGAGTAAGTGAGTAGATGAATAAGAGAAATGAACATCCCTCCCTTAGCTGTTGTTGCCAAGCTGACGATGTCTTGGTGAAAGTCCTGGTATGTAAGAATAATGAGGCAACCTGAGATGAGAGATTATTTTAGTTGATCAGACCTGTAGAATTGGTTGTTAGCAAGACACAAGAAAGTCTCCTAGCTCTCAGCATTCATGAGAGAACCCACTGTTTACAAGCTTTGGGTGGTAAAAGAAGGATGATGTTTGTCATGTTTCTTTATACATTTATAGACTTACCAAAGCTGTACAACGAAGGTCTTACTTTGGTCTAAGAAAGGTTTGTGAGCTAGAAGAAATGGCATCAAAATATTTGCCAAATAATTTTTAAAGAGAAATTTACCAACAATTCCATATGGAATAAAGCAGATTCTGTGTTCATATACAGGCCCTTAACATAGGGAATTTTTGTATCAATAATGCTAGTTTTATTAATAAAATAAATTTAATTTCAGTAAGTGTGGAAATTGATAAATGGAAGGTTGGATATGGATAAGAATAAAATAAAAAGTTAAAAGGCTGTAAGTAATGACATGAGGAGTTGGCATTTCCGAAAATTATGTTGTTTCTTCAGTTGTGACTGGTGTTTATGAAGAAGTTCCAGATTCTGCTTCTGTCTTCCTGAGCAACAGCCTAATCCCCAAATAGTAGTGAAACACCAAATGCTGTTCTTTCAATAAGGGAAGTTTGGGAACACGCAGACTGAGCATATATTTTAGCCTTCATCTAATTTATTGTATACTTTCAAGTCTAAGCCGTACATAATTGGTTGCCAAGCTAATAACTAATTAAAATATGACACAGTGTAGTGTTATGGAATTCTTTATATTTACTGAGAAAATACTTTTAGGTTTGCTTAGACAAATTTTAGTATGATGCATGTATAAAAAGTGTAAAAATATAAGCAGAGTAAACTGTTTGAAGTTTTGTACACCAAGCCTATTTCTTTAGAACACTTTTATTTTTACACTGCTATTAATATGTGTGGCTTTCCTCCCACAAAATAGCAACAATAATACAGTATTTCTTTTTCTTTTCTTTTCTTTTCTTTTCTTTTCTTTTTTTTTAAGACAGGGTTTCTCTGTGTCTTTGAAGGCTGTCCTGGAACGAACTCTTGTAGACCAGGCTGGTCTCAAACTCACAGAGATCCACCTGCCTCTTCCTCCTGAATACTGGGATTAAAGGTATGTGCCACCAACGTCCGGCTATAATACAGTATTTCTTAAGAGCATGTTGTATTGTAGTCTTGTGTCTGGGAATTTTCTTTCTAGCCATTAGTAAACATTATTGCAAATCTGTTGTCTTTATTATTCTCTGATTAAAACACAGAATTTTTTATCCAATATAATTATATGGATCTGGTGTGTGTGTGTGTGTGTGTGTTATTCAAAAATACAGAGGCAGTAACAACTAAATTGTCATCCCAGTAACTTTGTCAATAGCTACTTTTTTGATAGCAAGAAAATTTCCACTTTCAGGGGGATTGAAAAGCGGGACTAAATACTGTTTAAAACTGGAATAAAAGAGTGCATGAGCAATGTGGTTTGTTAGTATATCCAAAGGCCAAATTGGAATCAATTAGAATATCCAGTGGTATAATGAAGGATGTATTTACCTTTATTGTTGTATTTTGCACAGTAATTTAGCTAATTTAAAGTATGCTATATTGATTAGACTTAATACCTTTGCTGACATGTCCATATATCTTTAATTGATTTAGTTACACTTTTCACAAATACTTATTGGGTGCAGTTAAAAGTGAAGCAGTGGGTTAGGTCTGTTTGAAGGTTATAACTTGTCTCAAGTGCCTGAAACATTAAAATATTAACAGAAGACACTCAAATTGAGTAAGATATGAATGAAATTCCCAGTTCTTTGGAAACCTTTGTCAAGGGGATACAACCGGGCCAAAATATTTCAAGTTGGAAAAGACAGAATGGGCTTCTAAAAGATGTTCCAACAGGAACAAAATGTAGGAGCGTGACTAGACTGCTGGCATTTCTTAAGTGCCAACTAGATGCCAATCTAGTATACATATCTGATCCTCATTTAGAATTCTGCTTGGAAGATACATAGGTAGCCAAGTGGGCTACCTCATGGAGACTGAGAGGGAAGGATGTGGGCATTTTGGGGCCCAAGGAAGACAAAGGAGCATGCTGTTGCTCTTTGTTCCTTTACTGGAGAGCCTGAGGATGGCCCCCTAGGTAGCTGCAGCACACACCTGCAGAACTGCAGTAGCTGCCAAATCAGAGTCTGCCAGTCACCAGAACAATAACATCCACAGGTGCTGTGGATTGAGAAGTAAGCTAAGTATGGGGGGAAGGGAGCAAAAATTCCTAATTCCGTTGAAGATCCTGGTGTTTAAAACTCCAAATTAAGAATTTAGGAATTCTAATCCTTTTTTTGCAGTGGGCCTGAAGCCATCTCTGGAATGCAGGGCATGGCAGGGCAGGAGGACATGCATAGCCCAGGCATCTTGCATTGTGTGTTAATCTCTAAGCAAACTTGAATATACATACACCAGATCCCTGTACTGCCCTCAGTGCACAGGTAAGCACATGTGTGCCCAAAATGTAGAAAACCCTTCTGTTCTTTGGGCTTTCCATCCACTTGATGTCAAGGGCTTTCTGGACAGTTTGGACACTGCTGTCAGTCCTAAGTAGGGACAGGATTGTCCTTCTGATTTCTAAGTCTCTGATTTGGACCTTTCTGATACAAATAAAAATCAGAAATGACCTGAGCAAATGGCAGCTCACGGACTGAACCAGGACCCCTGAATGTGGGTGTCAGCTGTGGGGCCTGGGCAGTCTATGTGGTCTCTGGCAGTGGAACCAGTATTTATCCCTGTGCACAAAAGGGCTTTGGGAGCCCATTCTCTAAGGAGGGATACTCTCTCAGCCCAGATATAGTTGGGAGGGCCTAGGTCCTGCCCCAAATGATGTGTCAAACTTTGATAATCCCCCCATGGGAGGCTTCACCCTCACTGAGAAGTGGAAAGGGGTGGGATGGAGGTTGGTGAGGGGCATGGGAAGACTGGAGGGAGAGAGAACTGGGATTTGTATGTAAAATAAGATTGTTTTTAATTGAAATTAAAAATATTAGGCATGATACCTGGATATTAATAGTATCAATTTAGATTAAACAAGATAAAGAATTTTCAGTTGAAGTTGGTGGGGAGGCCCTATAGCATGGACCATCAGGAGAAGGAAAGTTCAAAACTGACTGTTTTCCAAGGGTCCAGCAATCCAGTGATTTCAGTTCACCTGAGGAAAAGACCTTGGGCTTGGCAAAGGACAACTTAGCTTCTCAGAGATACTTAGGATTCAGTTATGATCCTTGGGACAATAATAGAGACCTCTGCAATGTTTATGTATATTCTCTCTGTGTCTGTCTCTCCCTCTCTGTGTGTATGTGTGTCTCTCTGTGTGTATATCTCGGTTTCTGTGATCTTGCTGTCTCTCTCTCTCTCTCTCTCTCTCTCTCTCTCTCTCTCTCTCTCTCTCTCTCTCTCTCGCCCATACTACATATAGTATGCTGTAAGCATAAGTTTTGTGGAGTTGTCCCTTCCTAC